TTCATTTGCGCCAGTTGTGTACAGGTAAATTTTAGGTGAAAGTTATTTTTTTTATTTATCATATAAACCTCTTCCGTTAGCCAGTTGTACATATGTTATGAATTGTCAATTATAACATGTATATAACTGTTGTCCCCTGCTCACAAAGGGGAGGTGGGAGTAGAATTTCGAGCAGGACAAGTCAATTTAAAAGATATTTGTGCACTCTGTTTACATCCACTAAAATCACGGAGTAAAATTCTATTTACAGCATTTCAAAGCACCACAATAAAATCCATAAAAATGTAATACTAGTACAATGAATTACTAGTATTATCTTGCCGAGAATTTATATGCCACACATCTGATATATTCCTTTCTTGTCATTTTATCTTTTCTTTACTTGTTGCACTTGCCAATAACGAAGTCCATCTTTTCTTTCTCGTGTCAAAACGAAGAACAATATGACCAAAATTTATCTTAAACATAAGGGAACACTATTTATATCCATATATTACCATGCAATATACATTCTAGGTTTACTACATGTACATGTATTTACTTGTATAGCAAATAAAGTATCGGGGCTAGTAATAAAAAAAAAAAAAAATAGGCGCTATTTTAAAATATAAAATAAAATAGGCTGCCGCATTTTAAAATATAAAAGATCGAATTTTTTTTTAAATCGGCGCAAATCTCGTACGCCCGTGTAACTTTACACTGGTAAATTTATATGACTTACGCTTAGAATTTTAACTTCATATGTGATTTTCAAAACTGAGTTTTCAGAAGGTTAGGCCGATAAACAATACTTTCTAGAAGTTTCGATATACTGGCAACGTATGCATGTTGAGATTAACTTATTTCTTTAAGATTCTCGTGAAATAATGGTGATCTTGCAATGAAGTTAAATTTTATCTATACTGCTTAATTGACAAAATCTTATAGTAAAAATAAAAATGATAAAGGTTCATTGTCTTTTGTCATTTGTTTCATTTCAAATTGTCTCAAGGAGAAATGATAAAGATTTCGCCTGATCTCACAGAAGCTTAAGGCAAAAAATATAAGAAATTAATATACTCAGTGAATGTGAATTAACATAAAAATTTACGGTTTTTAAAACTAAACTTGTTGTAAATTTAACTTATGACAAAAACAATTGTTTCAAGAATAAGATCCAACATAAAATTTCTCACTTTCAAAAAGCTACAATGACCGGAAAGATTGAAAACAAATTTCAATTTTCAATGCCGGAAATCTATGCATACAACCTTGTCTTTGTTTTAATTTCCAAAATGAGCTATTTAGATTCATAATATTTCATCCTGTTTTGAGAAATACTTTAAAGTTTTCAACGGGAAATTATTTCTTAGATTCTAAATCAATTTTTGAATTAAAAACTTATTTGTATTTTATATTTACTGTCTCGTTTATTCAAAACACGTGAGGTAGTAATAACGGGGATCGTATTTTATGATAGGTTAAATGGATGTAAAACGTTTTAGAATCAAAAACTTTAATTCATATATTATACCTATAATTTTAATTTTCTTATATTTTAAATATTCAGAAATAATGAATCCACAAACTAGATGGAATAATTTGTATACGCTCGTCTTAGTCGGGACACATAATGGTATAAAGAAGTTCGTCCGTGCTAATGTCTGTCCGTCTGTCAACAGTAGCGAAAGAGTGCGCTAGGGCGAAGTTCTGAAATTGACGCGACAAAAAACCCACACATCTAGTCTAATATAGTCAAATAGTCTGTAAGTTAGCCATTGTCATCTTTCATTTCTCTTTTTATTTTCAATGATTTTGCTAATGAGAGGGAGAGGACAAAAACAGACTTTCCTTTCTAAAGCGTCGTAAAAGGTTATTTCGAACAATTTTTCATTCCGACGGATGGTGTTTCTGAAGGTTAATTTTGTGCGGCAACAACATCATGAGATCTTATACTGATACATACATGTGATCTCTTGTATTACCGGATAATAAAGTAGGTGAATATAGTTGTTATTCTTGATTCTTGAAAATTTAAATGTGGGTTTCAAACGTCCAATTTGCAGTTTTTTTCAAACAGTGCGCCAGCAAGGAAAACTTGTACTATGACGTCAGATTCAATGTTCAGAAGAAAGACAACTCTTTTCTTCAAAACGAACGAGAAAAAAACCTGAAAATTAATCATAACTTTTTTGAAAGGTCGGTGACATATACATTTTTTTGCTTTATTTTGAAGAGTACACATGGCACTTTCCTTCTTGAATTTTTTATGAAAAAATCACTGGTAGATATTTTTTAATACTTGAAACGTTTTTCATTCTTGCGTTTTATTTTTGGCGGGAATGAAATAAATCATATTTTTTAAGATCAAAACAATAAGAGTCTTAAACTCTTGAACCTGTATTTGATAGACACAAATCTTCTGTTTAAGATGAAACAAAAATTCTGCTTGTAGGTTTGCTATAATGGGATTTTTTGAGAGTTTAAATAACAAGCAAATATCATGTTAATATTCGGGAAAACACGAAACTGAGGTTGCTATAGTGACAAAACTAAGTCGGTGACCCCCAATTTTTTTTATCATATTTTGTTCCTCAAATGATGAAATACCTTCACACAAAATTTTAAGGAAAAATCACTGGTAGAACTGAATAGGCTGTTTGGTCTTTAAGTTAGAATACGGAAACTAATATGGGACGGACAGATGGACGGACAGTCCGAGGTAACACTTAATGCCTCCATTACCTGTGGCGGGTGCACGAATAACATGTATTGTATACACATATGAGGACGTTAGCCCGATATGGTTTATCTACATGTAATTTTATTCAAGATAGTAGGTAAATACAAAAGGATAGATTTCAATAATTTAGGGGAGGGGTCTTTTAGTAATTTGGCCTTTAGTTACGTTATTGAAAATCATGATAAATGCGGGATATCAAATTTTATCATATATTTAGTACTAAATACAGACATTTTGTATATTTGTTAAAGGTTCTTTTCTCCAGTCTGTATCATCTACCCTGTATCGCATAGCTAAACCCGTATCGCTTACTCCGTATTGCATCCCTTTCGGAACATCTCCAGACTGTTTTCGGAACTCATCAGTTGTTATCCGCTTGACATTTCAGAAGACGATAATGTCGGACATGTTAACCCTATTGCTACCGGAGTGCCACATGTGCCCATATATTTAATTTATACAAGCACTTGTTCATTACCGCATCTCTTTCAAATAAAACACCGAAGAATAACGAGTAAAATATTTTTCTTCAAAAGGTCTCCAATGTAACGTCATCAGGCACTTTGGCACCTGACAAATCGGCGCCAGGACAATTCAGCATCCGTAAAATACATTTCGGCACTTAAGAAAGAAAGTTCGGTATCAAGACAAATCAGCATCTAGACAAATCGGCACCTTATACAGCTACTTTTTTTATATTCTACTGTTGAGCTATCAGACCTTATTATTAACAACTAATTGTGTGGCCATAATGACCTGATACTGATGTAGGGTTTCTTAGAATTAAATTCATGTTTTCGCTTTGGAAATTTTGTGTATTTTGGGGGGTCAGTCAAAGCAAATATTTTGTAATATGAAATCTTTTATGGAGTATATTATAAATTCGTAATCTAAGTTTTTAAAGTGTAATTTGGAGAAGTAAATGTTGATGGCAGATCCTTTTATCAGATATGATTCACCATGCGTGCAACAATTTATGCGCGCAACAATTTGAATGTTAAATGTATACTGATTTTCATCTACGGTGATGTGCATGGATCTTTAGTTAAATAACAAAATACATGTAACACATGTATTCTGTTTATTTCAACTAACAATTCAATCAAAATAAAAACAGTAAATAAACAACAACAGCACTAGATGAGCCGTAATTGCTTAGAAGAAGCACACATGAAAAAAATTAAAATAAAGTTCTGAGAACTTATACTGTTTAATATATCAAACTTTATGTGTTTTTTCATTCTCGTTTTGGTGGTGGACTATACACACTGGCACATTCTTTTGCGAGCCTGGATGCAAATTTGATGATGCTGCAGTACTGATCCAAGAGTGCAAAGTCGGCCCTGGGTCAGGCTACTGTGTGATGTCAAAACCATATTGGATGCTATATCAATCATCAACCAATATAATTTTCGGAAGAAGACTTCAATTTTGAAAAACTAAAGTTATATGTTTAAATATATGATAAAGTGATTAATACATACTAGTAGTAGAATTGGTATTACATGCTATATCAGCCCGAGTATATACAGCATGTGATACGAATTTTACTATATATTATTCTCTATATATCTAATGACATCTTGGTGTAAATATTCAAACGTGATCCCGGATAGATAAAACTGATAGACCATGTAATCTATACTTGTATACCCAAATGAGTATTATGATTGCATTCTGTATCTTTTGTTTCATAGAATATAAATAAATTTCAAAATGTATGGATAGAAGGTAATCTTATGTAATTTTTTTAAACAGGCATCGTTGTATACCGCTTCGTGTATAGAAAGTCAATCCTACAATATTTCATTACATTAGTTCTCATGACCTTGTCCACACAGTGTTCCTTGTCATTCGATTGTTGCAGTAAACGGTCATTGGGTTTAAAACATGATTTGGCGAATCGTTACGGTTTCTCACTTTCTGAATAATTTCGATCTTATATTATTAACGATGGACGGTGTCAAATGCTTTGGCAATTAACAGTTTGATGAGACAATGAAATCGCATGACAGGTGAAGCATACATAGCTGAAGATAATTAGGCTTACGGTCATACAACTTTCGGATACGATTATCGAATTCAACCAATCAAAGTACTGGATTTGGTGTTTCGTGCACAAATTATATACTCCGAGAACTAAAAAAAGTTTTATGACCAAAAGGTCAGGTCCCCCACAGTTAAAAGGTCATACGATTTTGATTTTTTTCACAATCATCTTTCGTCTATCATATACCTACATGCATACTGTGACGATAAAAGTAAGTTAGTGAGTAAGTAAAGTAAGTAAAACTTTATTTTGATTCGGTATATAAAAAAACAACACAATAAGCTGTGGTGAGCATTCACCGAATATAAAAACATATACAATGACAAATAAAACAAAGCATGCAGCATGACAATAAATAGTTTTAAAAAAAATAACACCACGTAAATGATAGATTTCATAGATTACTTAAGAGACTTTTAATTATCATTTTCGCTTATTTTATCAACACTCCACGGAATCATCTTGGCCCAATAACGGTAAATATACACTTCCATTTTTTAAGTTGTTCAGGATCAGACAAGTATCATGATTCATCTTATACAACGGTATGTTAATAATTTGACTGATATTACAAAGGAAAAAAATATATCATTTCACTTAACAAAATACGTGTGTGTGGAACAACCTCCACTAGTAACTGGTCGTGACAAAAACTTTCAAAAACCAAAATTATACAACGTCTCAGATCATAAAATCAAACAAGCCTAAATTTTGAAAATTTTTTGCAATTTTATTTCTAATGACACAGGTCCATATAAGACAACGCTCTATACATACAATTTAAAGTACAATTTGGGCATTGTTAATGAAAATTTACAAAAATTCCGAACTACAAGAAAAATTCAAAACGGAAAGTTCCTTATCAAATGGCAAAATCAAAAGCTCAAACACATCAAACGAATGGAAAACAACTGTCATATTCCTGACTTGGTACAGACATTTCCTTATGTACAAAATGTTAAAATGCAATCATTTCTTCACTGTGTATGATGGAAGGTAGTGTTGTCTTCATGTTAACATCATAAACATGCAATCATCACAGTCATCGTTTTTAGTCGAAGGTAGGTGCAAGAATTGTTATTTTTTCAATACAGTTGGCATTACTATGCAAAATTACATGAATGCATTTTTTTTTAGAATATCTCTTTTTTAATTTTATGTACAAATGTTAGGTGTTCTCAAAGTGGTTGTGATGTATGCAAAATGTTCATATGCTTGATATGATCTAAACAATTTATTACATTATGGTTTAGCTAGTTTTTGACTAAAATTGTTCCGAAAAAAAAGTATCAAAATCACTACAAAAAATGTGTTTGAAGTACACTTATAATTCTGAACGAATGTCAAGAGCGAGGTTTTATAAGATAACACTGTGATGTTTCCTTATTTAATAGTGGAATGAAGCTTTATACCAAATGGTTAATTCTAATGATTAAGAAACAACCACAATCTAAGTTTGTTCCAAACGTTTTCAAGGTCTTTATCGTTGTCATCCGGCCATGCAATAAGGGCAAGGTCTTTCCATAAAACAGCTAATTCATGTGGAATTTCCTCCATATTTATTCCTTTGGTAATAACAATAATCTTTTGTAAATTCTGTGAGAAGTGGTGATATTTTGCCCGCTCGACTGCATATTGTCCCCATATATCATTTTTAAAGGCAGAAGTTACAATAAATATAATATGTCTGCTTTGTTCAATGCAGTCAGCAAAGGTGTCAGCTATAGGCTTCCCTACAGGAAAATCTCTGTGTTCTATGCACATTTTCAACCCCCATTTTCTCTCTAGTTCAGGCATTACTATATACTTTATCCATGACAGTTCACTTTCAGGATAATACACGAAAACATCATACTTGAATTTTACATCGATACCTTTTTCTAGAGTGTGTCTAAAGCGTTTGTATAAATAAAATGAAATTCGCCATCTAAAACTGTAAATTAGTGTAAAGGGAAAGAAAATAGCAATAAATGTTGCAATAAGACATATCCCTGCTTTAAGCCACAGACTGATGTTACATCCAGCAAAAAGTTCATTAAAATGCGCAGCAGCAATACTTGTATTTGTTTCTGTTGAATTGTGTAAAAGGCATTTGTAACCATTGGCGTCGAATGTGAAATTGGTTTTATTGGTTTTATGAAGCCAACGGATGAAGTCGTAGTTTGTACAATCGCATACCAGTGCGTTGTTGTCCAAATGCAGCTTAAAAACTCCATGTTTTGCATACAAACCATCGAAAAATTCTTGAAATGTACTATTGATATTGGTCAGAAGGTTTTTTCTCAAATCAAGTTCCTTGAGATTTGCTATCCTAGTAATAGCAAGCGGAACTGCTCTGAAAAGGTTATTTGACAAATTCAGGTTTGTCAGTCTAGTCATATTTTCAAATATATCAGAAGGCAATTTCCACAAAAAGTTATTTGAAATATCTAGCTTTTCAGTTCCTGATATAAACGTAAAAATGTTTTTCTGATTTTTGTTTGTAATATACAAATTTGTGTTTTTCATTACAAGTATTTTAAGTTTAAATAACGGATACAGTTGTATTTTGTCGAAAACTACCCTGGAATCGACCCCCGTTACATCAAGATTCTCAATTTCAGAACCGTTTGATGCGGTTGCTTGATCAACGGTTACACAGAAAGACACATCAAACTGACTTATACTTGCATTTGGTGGTATTTTCCACAAGACTGGTTGCCCGCCATGATAAACATGGCTCATATGCACGTCTTTTATTGAAGAAGGTAATGTTATTATCCGTTCTTCAGTGATATTAGTCAGATTTTTTACTGCAATATGTGAATAATTGACAAAACTCAAAGGTATATATGAGTACTCGAATTTCGTAAGGTTTTGAGCTTTATTGAAAAACTGTTTGATATTTTTCAGTCGATGTGCGTGAAATAATGAAAATCGATTTTCAGAGAGTGAAATGTTCAGAAGACATTCAGGCCTACTGAATGTAAGCAGTGAACCATCTTCAAAATCTACTATGTTGTTTTTAGAGATATCAAGAACTTCTACACACATTGTTTGTATATACTTAACCATTTCTTTCGTGATATTTACTTCAAAGCTGTATGTGCTGTTGTTTGTAATTGATTCATCATTCACATGATGAAAGTTGATCATTTCCATAGAACTATTTGCTAAAGGTTTTAGAAGCTGGAAAGCTTGGATTGGATGCATGTAAGTATCCGATAAATCTAACACTTTGAGATTTGGGAAAGGTTTTAGGGTGTCCGCCTCTACTTTAACAAACTGTTGACATCTATTCATATGCAAATATTCAATACTCCAGTTGAAATTTATGAATGTTGAATTTTTCAATACCTCTACTTTACAATTATTAAATTCCAATACCTTAAGTTTATCCATCTTCTTAAACCCTTTTCCAAATATAGGTATTGGTCCAAGATCAATAGCAAGAGTTTTCAAATTTACAAGAACTCCTAGTGCTTTATCGGGATAATTATTCGACTGAATGGCATACTTTGAAAAATTCAAGTTCCTACTGATATCAAGAAATGATATATTAGCTATAAAGCTAAATAAGATCGGTGTGTATGCTGAAAAGTCGAGATTGTTTCCAGACATCTTGAGTGTCTTTAATGATGTCAATCCAATAAAAGCTTTAGATTCCAAGATTTCCAATTTATTGTTGTTAATTGTCAGCTCAATTAATAATTTCAAATTACTGAAGGTATTGTTTTCAATCTTCTGTATTTCGTTATGGTCAAGAATTAGAACGTTGAGTTTGTCAGATAGATTCTTTGGTACTTGTGTCAGATTTCCATTTGAATAATTTGCAGAACATGGTGTTTCGTGCATTTTGCATTGGTTCTTAGCTGCAATTGAAAAAATCAAACAAACACTTGAGAAAAATAGCACAATACTTCTTTTGTACATCATGTAACTGTGATTATAAAGTCTTTGAATTAATGTCAGTAAAGTAATTAGAGTTTAACGTTCCGATGAACAATAGTGAAAACTTTAAACACATTTTGATTCAAGTACTTTATATGTTATATTACCTGTTATATGAGATAACAGTATTTGCATTAACTAAATTTACAACGTCCTTTGTGTGCATTCACGTTTTCCCCTAAAGTAAAATCATACGGTGCACACAGTTCTCAAGGCCAAATAATATAACCTCATTTCAATAACAATTGCAAGGTTATCAGTGTTAGGAAAAACCGAATTCATACTACTATTGCCTTATGTGAGATGCAGGGCAAACGATAGTTTTAATACTGAGGATAAAGGCGATTATACTCACATCATTACTTCGCTACAAGTGTTAGAGGTACTGTATTTTTCAGTATTTAGTGATTTAATTCAAATGATGACTTGACTAACTTCCAATTGAACTTGCATATAGCATCCATAGGAACCGTCATTTTACATTATGTGTACAAACAATTAAGAGCCTTTCAAAACATTTTATGAACAATATTTTCAAAACGTCTGCTGTATATATACAGTGGTGCATAATTATTTAACTCTTTTCACGCATAGATGATAATACCGTAACAACTATGGTATGAAATATGAGAATATATTTTACATATAATATACTAGAAGCATTATATGTAAATTAAAATTAAAAATATCGCGCATGAAATAGGCAAAGCTGGCAAATCTTGTGTATTTCACTTCAAAAAGTTCAATAGAAAAATGGCAATACCTCAAATTTTAATTTAATCTCTAAAATTTAAAGTCAAAATGACGTCAATGTAAGCATCCATAATTCACCATACGGCCTTTAACAATGTTAATACCGCATACTGTATAGTCAGCGGCCTGATTTAGGATAATAAAATTAATGATGTGATAGACAGCAAACAACGACAAACACTGAATTACAGGATCATGACTTAAGACAGACGCATAAAGAAAGTTTCGGGGTTAAACATGTTTGTTATAGCTCATCTATCCCTTAACCCAAGCACATGAGTTACAGCACAAAATAAGAACAAACTGTAAAGAAGTCGCAATTACTGAAAACTTGTTCAAAGCCAATTACAACTAACAAATAAATCAATTTGTCTAAAACTGATGAGATAAGTCTTTTAAAAGAGAGGTGAAAGATACTATTCAAAAGGACATTCGAACTCAAGGTCGAAAATAAACTGGCAAATAAAGGCAACATTAATATACCGCTATTCGAAATTCATAAATCTATTGAGAAAAAAAAATCCGGGTTACAAACTAAAACTGAGGGAAACACATCAAATATAAGAGGAGAACAACGACAAAGCCATGAAAAAAAACAAATGACAAACAACTGTACACAAGACCCAACATAGAAAACTAAAAACTAAGCAACACGAACCCCACCAAAAACTTTGATTGTGGTTACGACAATTGGAATATATCCGTCGTCATCTGTGAAACAGATATTCCATAACGGTCAACCAACCAACCATTTGGAACTCGATCTTGGTTAAATAACTTACTTGTGAGCAGTGACCCTTGATCAAGGAAATCATGATAGGAAATGCATGACCTCGAATATCGTATCAACTGAGATATATATATTCCATATGCAGACGCTGCTGGAATATTGCAACATAAAAATGGGAAGCTGCAATCATCTCTTTTGTCGTAAAGTTTTGTTTTCAACCGACCCTCATTGTCAATTTTTAGATGTAAGTCAAGATATTAGGCAGACTTAACTGTATCTGTTGTATCCTTTATCTCAAATTCGATGGGATAGATGCGTTTAACATAGTTACCAAACTTTGAACTATTTAGTGAGAGGACATCATCTATATACCGGAAAGTGATGTTAAAGGATAATGCTAACTTTTTTTTTCTTCCGAAGAAGTTCCTGTATGAAGTCAGCCTTGTATGAATAAAGGAACAAGTCGACTAGATGAGGAGCACAGTTGGTTTCCATAGGAATGCAAATTGTTGTTGAAAAAACACGTCCCCCAAACATAACAATTAGATGTCAATCAAGACATAAAGCATTTTGATAAGGTCAGTTGCAGAAATAAATGTAAATGTAATTTAAAATACCAAGAATAAAAAACCAGTGAGATCCATACTGGTTTGAGAGAAGAGTTGAATCATCACGTCGAAGAAGAAGGATGGGTACTCGTGCAATTTTTTTTCAAGGAATCCAATATTGATTACATTGTACAAAATGTACTTGGCAAAACTTTTAGGAATTTTTGGTCCTCAATGCTCTTAAACTTCTTACTTTATTTGGCCTTTTAACTTTTTTTTATTCGAGCGTCACTGATGAGTCTTTTGTAGACGAAACGCTCGTTTGGCGCAAATACAAATACAAATTTACATCCTGGTATCTATGATGAGTTTATATATCAGAATCCAGTCTTTAGAATTTGTTAAACTTTATCGCAATTATCGATTCACGTGCAATGACCAGAATTAAGAGTATGATATTTAATTCTGACTAAGTTCTCTGTTTAAAAAAATGTCATTCAAAAGTGAAAACAATAATTCTGAACAGCTCGTTAAAAACTGTTGAAAAGTAATCTGCTTTTCCGCGATGAAAATGTCACGAAAAAATAGAAAAAACATAGCATCCCCTTTCTTAAAATAAGTTGAAAATAACAATTCATTGGTGTCTTGCTTCATGCATTTAGTGATATTTCTTTTGTAACTGGATAATGAATGCTTAAGCTTATATCTAGATTAATAAGGGAGTATTTCACGTTTCAAATGAGCCGTAGGGCGTATTAAAAACCAATACGGATCAGAAAAGAATATCCTGCTTTAGTATGGTCGGTAAAATATGATGGAAATCTTGCAATTCTTTGCAGAAAATTATATTTTTTTACGGTATATATAAGTCAGATAATGCATATTTTAAGGTTTTTCTTGTCGTATACACACCTCGGGGTGTGTTTTACCACAAGAAAGACCTTAAAATATGCATTATCTATAACATATTTTCATGGAATTACGGTGCAAATTACTTATGTGAAGAGTGAACTTTAGAGCATCTTTCAATCTTTTGTTTAGACTTAACATATTTACTTAATAATGTTAAAATTATGAGTAGCACTAGAGGTAACATGACGATTGTCATGCTAGTAGCACATTCGAGGCAGGATATGCGAACCCTTTGGAGCACACATATGCCGGGATCCGTTATTTCAAAAAATCAGTTTGCTGTTATTCTTTTTTTTTAACCCATAAAGGGAAAATAGTACTATTACATTTTCCCAGCAATAGGTTGGCCTTTTGTGTACCCAAGGCAGGTGAAGGAAGTCAACTTAGGAGCGCTGTGATTAGATGTAAGGGTACACTATATTTTTTTACTTATCTATTAATAACTGCAGTGTGTATATTTACAATATAAATGTTGAAACCCATTGAAATATTTTCTAGAGAATTAATCGACAAGACTTCCAAAATTTCATAAATTTGGTGTAAAATGACGGTGGGCATGGATAACATAAACAAGCACCGTTGGAAGTTGGTCATGATACTATTTGGCTTCAATTTTTAAAACAAAATAATAAAGTACTAACACCACACATAACTGTTTTGTCCAGGTTTTTATTATAAAAAGTGGTAAATTTAGAAAATGTTAGTATTGTCGCCTATGGCAGAATAAATAGTACCGTTTTCCCTAAACCATTGTACATTATTTTTTATGGCGATTGCTCTTGTATCTGGTTTTCGAGTGTTGCTCTCCCCTTAAACATATCGACATATTCCACCGGTTTTTGTTTCTTTTATACAATAAATACATACCAAACTGTACTCAAGAGTTATACGTCTGAAAGTTGTAATTGTTTCTATGTTTTAAAGCTTAATCTGTCGAAAAGGTGCAGATATTTAATACAATGCAAGATACTGTGTAGAATTAAAGAATACATTTTGGATAGATGAGAAATGGGTATGTAGTATTATTTTGAATAACTTTTTGTTTTCAAATCCAGGAAACCTTAATTGTTCCGTATTCTACAGTGTACATACATCAATTTGGTGTTGTCCAGTGTGTGGAGTGATTTTCCTTCAAAGCTACGTTAAATCTTTACAAAGGCAAATGGATGATTTAGAGAAAACTACGCGTAACTGGCAAATGTAATAAATTTGCTTACCATCTTTTGTCACAGATTGTTACAATTTATGAATGTCTTGTAAATAATGTGTATTGGTAGTTATTTGCTTGATGTCCAGTTGGAACTATTTCATGGTTAACAATGACTAAGGCGAGATGTACTAAAACTAATGCATTTGACTGGAACACATAAACAAATATTAGTAAATAAATGTGTTTAAACAAAGTTAGTTAGAAATACATCAATTAAAATATAAATGATCTTCAAAATGGAAAGCAGTTGCTTTACCAGGCCTCATAACGATTGTTTTGCAGTCTTTAAAGATTCAAATAAGCTCATACGGTTCAAAACAAAACTTGAGTTAATTCCATACGTTTTCGAGGTCGTTTTAGTTTTGTTGGCCATTCGGGCAAAGCTATGTCTTCATAATACAGCTAATTCGTGTCGAATGTCTTTGGACTCTATATCTTCAGTTATAACTAAAATGTTTAGTGAATTCTGAGAAAAAGGTGGTATTCTGCCCATTCGATTACATGTTGTGCCCACATTTCATGTTTAAAAAATGATGTTACGACAAAAATCATATGCCTGATTTGTTCGATGTTTTCAACAAATGCATCACTTATAAGTTTTCCTTCTGTAAATCTCTTTCTTCTATACAAATTTGTAACCTCCATTTTCTATCCACTTTCGATATTAGTACATATTGATCCAATGGTAGGTCATTTTAAGGGTAAAATACAAAACCATCATACTTCTAATTTACAGCAAAACCTTTTTCTATAGTATTTCTGAAATGTTTGTATAAAGAAAATGAAATTCTCCGTCTGAAACTGTAATTAAGTGTAAAAAGGGGGAAAACTCCCAATAAACGTCTCGAAAATTCGATAACTGCTTGTATCCACATTTCGCTGTACATTCTACATACAAATAATTGTAATATAAAGCAGCATGGTGTGTATTGCTTTCAATAGAATTTTTGAAGGATGCATTTGTATGTTCCATCAGCATCAAGTGTCACATTGGTTTTATCAAGCCATTGGATTAAGTCAGAATTTTAACAGTAACACGCAAGAGCCTTATTGTCCAAATTAATCTTGAATCCGTGTTTTAAGTTCTATTCATTGAAAAGGTCTTGGAAGGTGATATTTAAATTAGTAAGAAGGTAAATTGTCATACCAAGTTCTTTAGAGCGACAATGGGATTGCTCGGAAAAGGTTTTAGGTCAAATTCGTCACACATTTTGTATTTTCAATGATATTTAGATGGAACTCCCACAAAAAGTTGTTAGATATGTCATGTTTTTCTATTCCTAAAATATGCATGAAAACGTTTTCCTTCAACCTTTTTGTTATACATAACTTCGAGTACTTCGTAATCAATGTATGATGCTTGATAGGTGTACAGGCAGTTGACTGGTGTTGAAAACTTTTCTGGAATCAATTCCAACTACATCAGATACTATATTTTCAATATTGTATATAATATTGTCTTCTTCTTCTTCCGGTTAGCCACCACCGTCAACTGGTTGGAGTGAGCGCATGAAAAATTTTGAAATTTAGTAAACAAAAACGGGTGCAATTTATATACATACAGGTGCAATTAAAAGCATGTCTTTTACACGTTGTTAAATTTAATGACGGAGCTGAGCCTTGAAATAGTCAGGACTCAGGGCAGAGACAGTACAGTTGAGCGCGGTGATTCACTCTCTGATTACTCTGGAATAGAACGATTCCCTCCGTACAGTTATTTTTCATGACAGAATTCTGAATGCCTTTTCGTCGTTATTTCTAGAAGGGCGTTCATATGGTACCAGCTTACTATATGTATCAATTTTGACATTTAGTTATTCAGTAGCTTATATATTAAAATATACATCATTATTAAGCGGCTATGTTTCCTTCTTTTTTTGTAGTGTAGTCCATTCAAGATGTTCAAACATGTTACTAACAGACGAGGTGTTGTGATATCTAATAGTAACATACTTTGCTGCCCTTCTTTGAACCATATCCAATCTGTGGATGTCAGTTTGTTGGTATGGGCCCAAAACTTCACTAGCATATTCTAATGCAGGTCTAACGAGGGACATGTATGCTTTTTCTTCGGTCGACTTGTTGGAGATGTTTACATTCCTTTTCATGAAGCTAATGGTGCTTTGAGGGGAGATGATGCTTATGTGTTTGCCCCATTAAATATCTGATGAAGTAGTGCATCCCAGGTATTTAGCTTATGTGATGTTCAAGGCCGTGTAATGTGTAATTGTACTTTGATGGCGTTTGCTACTTGGAGATGGTGAGTACATTACATTTGTCAGGATGGAACTTCATAAGGCATGTTGTTTCTCATTCAGCCAGTTTGGCAATGTCCTTTTGTAGGTTTGCGGCGTCTGCATTGAATGGGATTGTGACATAAGCAATATTGTCATCAGAAAATAGTCTTAGGTTTGATTGAATCCCCTGGGTCATGTTGTTTATTTAAAAAAATAATAGGCTAGGTCCCAGGACAGATCCTTGTGGTACACCGGATTCTACAGGTATTGAAGTTGATGTTTCACCCTCCACCACTACTGACTGCGTTTTATCCCTGAGGAAGTTGTTTATCCACTCATTTGTTTTACCTGTTATCCCATAATGCTTCAATTTGTGGACGAAAAGGCTATGACTAACCTTATCAAATGTCTTGGAGAAGTCCATTATAGGACAATCTGTTTATTTTCCTTGATCTAAGTTGTTAGTTAGATCATCGATAAATTCAATTATTTGAGATTCACATGATAATCCTCTTTGAAACCCATATTGAAGTGGATACATAATGTGAATCAGCATGAGACATAATATGGCTAGTTATAATATGCTCCATTAGTTTACATGATATGCAGGTGAGCGAGACTGGTCTATAATTCATTGAAACGTATTTCTATCCTTTCTCGTACACTCGACAGATGTTTGGTGATATCCAAATCGTTTCTAACATCCACTGTGAACATGGTATTGGTCATTACTTGTACCTGACAAATACTGTGAACATGGTATTGGTCATGTCTCGTACCTGACAACGACTGTGAACATGGTATTGGTCATTACTCGTACCTGACAACCACTGTGAACATGGTATTGGTCATTTCTCGTACCTAACAAGCACTGTGAACAGAGTATTGGTCATTTCTCGTACCTGACAAACACTGTAAACATGGTATTGGTCATTTTTAGTATCTGACAACGACTATGAACATGGTATTGGGCTGAACTCGTACCTGACAACGACTGTGAACATGGTATTGGTCATTTCTCATACCTGAAAACCACTATGAATATGGTATTGGTCATTTCTCGTACATGACAACCACTATGAACATTGTATTGGTCATTTCTCGTTTCTGACATCCACTGTTAATATGGTATTGGTCATTTCTCGTTTCTGACATCCACTCTGAATATGGTATTAATTGTTTCTTGTACCTGACAACCACTGTGAACATGGAATTGGTCATTACTCGTACCTGACAACGACTGTGAACATGGTATTGGTCATAACTCGTACATGACAACCACTGTGAACATGGTATTAAACATTATTTGTACCTAACAACCCCGTGAAAATAGTATTGGTCATTACTTGTACTTGACAACCACTGTGAAAATAGTATTGGTCATTACTTGTACCTGACAACAACTGTGAATATGTAATTCATCATTTATGGTACCTGACAACTACTGTGAACATGGTATTGATCATTTCTTGTACCTGACAACTACTGTGAACATGGTATTGATCATTTCTTGTACCTGATAACGACTGAACTCTAACTTCCGCAGGTTTAAAATTTTCTACATTCCTTCCCCAAAAGTTTTAAGGGAATCTTGCAAGAGCAATCGAAAATTCTTCAAAATTGGACAGATCTAAAAAGGCCATATCCTGATAATGTGTCCTGTTTCTATGATCTGAGAAACTTATATTTTTACTGATCTGACGTCGAGTACTGTCGCATTTGTCCTGATGTGAGATTGGGACGCAACAGGTTTTTACTATGTTGTTTCAATTTGGTTTACCCTTGTTTTTGTTGTTGTTTTTATATCTTACTTAATTCATACTTCTTCGAGAAAGTGTATACTATATTCGATATGTACTATCAACTATAAAAAGTTTTTATCGACGTCTTTGTCAATATAATATCAACTATAAAACTTTTTTGTTGGCGTCTTTGTCAAATTTACTATCAACTACAACTTTTTTGTTGGCATCTTTGTTAGATTAATTTGTACTTTTGTTTGAATGTTTTAGTCAGCTGTGTTGTATGTCTGTGATGTATGTGTGTTATAACAATAAGGTATGATTGCCAATGAGACAACTATCCGCCAAATTTTAAATGAAGCGGATGTAAGCAATTATAGGCAACTATATGGCCTTCAACAATGTGAAAACCCCACGCCGTATAATCGGCTATAAAAGGCACCGACATGAAAAATATGAAATAATTCAATGGAGAAAACTAACAGCCTAATTTATAACAAATCAATTTACGAAAAACAAATATGATAGACATGAACCAATGACAACCACTGAACTGACTTGGGACAGGCATATAAAAAACGTTGCAGGGTTAAACATGTTAGTGAGCGCTCAACCCTAACCGGGGACAGTGTTGTTACAGAACAAAATAACAACAAGGTAGAGATCTATTATGTCTTTTGGGGTTTATCAACCAATTTTGTCAATATAACGGAACAATAAGCAACTGTGGAAAGTTAAGCTAGCCATAAAACCAGGTTTTACCTACCATTTTCTCCTGAAAATGCCTGTACCATGTCAGGAATATGATTTTTTTCATTTGTTTACAACGTTTGATTTTGTCTATGTTTTGTGGACTTCCCTGTTTTGAATTTACCTTGGAATTCGGTATTTTTGTTATATTGTTTTTGCTATAAAGCTGGATATTATGGGAATGAAAATTGACAAATCTATCTTATTGCCAGCCATTTCTTATATATTTTAAAGATTTTTTAACTATGATGTGCAAAGTTTTAATGTTATTTACTTTCATCAGGGCGAACATTCACTTTACATTAGACAGGACAATAGAAACATTAGTGGTAGAAGATTATTCAAATAAAAATTTGGAAGATGTACCAAACAATCTGCCAGTAGACATACATATATCAATAAGTTTGCCAAGTTAAGTC